GTTCTCAAACCATGTAAGGAAGATACAGAAAGGACATCACTTGAGTTTTAACTAGTGGAAATAGAAAGGGCACCCAGGCAGATGAGTAATTAGAGTGATTAAGTAGTTAATGGGATGGGAGCCCCCAAAGGACAAAAAACACTTTATGATCTTCGTAATTTATGAGGTCAACAATGTCTACTTAGCGATCTGGTCTTTGGGAATGGTGTGAGGGGAAAGAAGTGAACATGCCTGATGCATGCTATTGAACTGAAGAATTACAAGAGAGAAGATTGGCATAGCCGCTACGAAGGAAAGGCGCTGATGGAGCAAGACAAGAGGTAATACAGATTTTCATATAATGTAAAATTTAAATTGTATGCATCAGGACATGGGATATATTTATGAGGTAAAAATATGATCTTTCATTTCAAAGTGCAGTTGTGTAACTTACAGAGGTACCACGTGTTTTGGGTGGCAGCGGCAAAGGCAGTGCAAAGGTTTTCCTTTTTACAGCCAACTCGATTGCACTCATCTCTTCATCAAACATCTTTTTAATGTTACAGCACTCGACAAGTGTCAATCGTGGGAGAGTCTTGTTTATTACACAGTTCCTAATATACTGAAACCCAAAACATGGCAAGTTGTTAATATTTATCTGACTCAAACATTAAAAGAAAAAAAACACACAAAATATTACTATGGCATTTTATTTAAAACTTGACTAGAAATAATATATATCTCATTTTACCTTTACGATGCTGTAAGTTTAGAATTTGAAAACAAATGCTTTTTATTGACCAACTTAAGTTATTGAAGATGCAAGGCTTCGGAATATCTTAGATCCCTTCTTTAGGCTTTTCACATTTCTATAAAGTCTGAGGGGGTGTTTTTGTTTGTTTTGTTGAAATCAACATTGTGTAAAGCAGTCTGCATAATTGATCTATGTGTTCCTGTGCCCTGTAGGGGATAGGAGATGAAGCTGATCTCAGCAGTTAGCGCAGACAGCATTGTATCCTGTAGCTGGATAAAGTCCAACGCATCGGCAGACACCATTTGGTGCTTAGGTCTTGGCTGAATTCAAAGTACAATATAATATCCCTATTCTGACAGAAAAGTGTCAGGCTTTTCTAAACTTCCACCAAAGATGGACACAGGGTAACGCATGTCTGGATGTTCCACTGGAAGGAAACTAGAAGGGGTTTAGGATTTGCTGCCCGCATGGGACTGCTGGGACTTGCAGTACTGTATTGGCTGTGCTTACTGTCCTGTGAACTATTTCTCCTTGTGGTTCCACACTGTGGCCTATTTCTCCTTGCCATGCTTCTGCTTCCATCACAACCTCTACGTGTGTGGTCCTGAAGCCGCAGCCAAGACACCCAGCCCACTGAGGACCTGCCATCCTCTGTGAAGGACCTCTGCCTTGTGTGCTGGATTTAACCCCTGCTGTGCCAAACCCCACTCTGCCTGGATATCTGGCCTGTGGGCTGGACACTTAACCCTTGTTCCCCATCACCACCCGGAGGATTCCTGTCCCTTGCTGTGCGTACTGTTGCCCTGTGTACTGATCCCAGTTGCTATACCATATTTCCTCTGAATGGACACTTAACCTCAACTGTGTCCTATTATCCCTCAGAGGATTCCTGCCCCTGGCTGTGCCTACTGTTGCCTGTTTCTGTGCCAGATTTCCTCTCCAGGGATGCTTAAACCTTGCTGTGTCATTCTACTGCTTGGAGGATCACCTACCCTTGTCATGCCTTACCATTACTTTGAACTGTTCATCTGTGTTGTCCCCACTGATCCGTGAACTGCCTATCTGTAGCGTGCCCATTTCTACCCCATGGACAGATCTGGGCTGTAGTTCAATCCCTGCGCCCCACAAGTCTCCCAATAAATGCTGACACGTCAGATTCTTTGTGATATACCTCTGTGTGTGCACTCTTGGCACTCCTAGATCGTCACAAAGGGGTCTATGGATTCCTGAAAGCTTACATCTTTTTTTTTTTTTTTTTGGTCCATAATATTTTTTTGGAGAAGTACACAAAAAAGGAGAAAAGCACAAAGAACAAAAAGAAAAAAGGGGAACAAAACCTAATCCAAAACCAGGTCTCCTACAAGGTACTGGCACAGGTATGGGAGTCTTTTTGACAGTCCATGGGCTGGCCGCTGCCCACCAAACCAACAAGGAATGTAGTATCTTACTCACAGTGTACATGAGTAGTTGTAGGAATAAATCCTAACACAAGAATGAGCCAATACAAAGATACAAAACACATCGGTAGCACATGGTATCCGTATAAGGTTAGACCACAGAGTATTTGTTGAGCAGCAGTAGCGGCTCAATCTCACAATAAAGCTGAGGAGGCCCTGATGCCAGCAAGAACAGCAAACCTAGTTGGAGTCCAGAGGAGACTTCTACAGTCCCATGATAATAAATTAAAAAAAAAAAAAGGGGGGGGGGGGGGGGGGGGGAGAACGGAAGGTGGGTGGTGTCGCACCTGTGCTCATCAGAGAATGAACAGTCCCCTCTCCAGGCCTAGCCCTCAAGAGTATTACAGGCCATCAACTACATGGACAGGCAGAGCAGTGGTGACATGTGTGCTGAGGAAAACTAAGTATCGAGAACACGGGTAACCCCATAATGACCCAGGCTCCGTACTCTACCTAAGTGAGGGATATAATTTGTAAGTATCCATGGTTTTATAATGTAGCCAAAATATGCAAGTTGTAACAATTGAAGAAATCCTGTCTTGGGCTGTCAGAATCAGCTCTTCCAGTCTGTTCAAATGGATAAACCACGCCTTCATGCTAGGAGGCGATGTGTCCATCCAATATACCAGAACGCACAACCGTGCAGTGTTAATCATATGGATCAGCAGAGATTTTTTGATGTTTGCACCGAGAGGGTCAAATGATGGAGCAAGTATTGGCTTGGCACAAAGTCTATTGCCATTCCCGTCACTTGATTAGTAATGTCATGCACCCTAGTCCAAAAAGGGATCAGGCTGGGACAAGTCCACCAAACGAGGAGAAAAGTGCCTGTCAGTTAGGCATCGCCAGCAATGGTCTATTACTGAGGGGGCAATTCTATGCAGTAGGTATGGTACCTTGTACCTGCGTGTACAGATTTTGTAAGCATTTTCCTGTGTATGTACATTGAGTCCTTGTGTACCAAGTTGTTACTACACTCCCAGTCCTCTGCTAGAACTGACAATCCAGGTAATTTTCCTAAGCCTTACATGCACCACCACTACCAGGAGGAAGCTCGGCAGAAAAACAGGACATAAATCTCAGACACTAAGTGTCGTTGGGGAGTTGACTGTATACAAATGGATTCAAAGGGAGTGCGGTCTCTATAAAAGCTTTCTCGGCATCCAGGGCAATTGAGATACTGCCGGACTTGTAAGTAAGTCCAGTGAAGAACCTCTGAATCAGCTTGCATCTTTAATAACTTAAAGTAGAACTATAGGCTTTTTTTTCCCCCATTTAAACCGAGTAAGGGAGGGTTATAACCCGTCAGTTTTTTGCCATCTGTGCCCCATTGGGGGAGATTTACTGTCAATTCCTGTCTCACAAAAAAAACGGACGTGAGAGGAAATCCCTGCAAATTAAGGGGATCCCTTGGCTCCGCAGAACTAGTGTCCCCATTGGAAAATTTACACTCTATTACTTTTCTGGGGACAACCAAAATTTTGGTATTTTCTTTTACTTTCAAGGATAATAGTAAACAGGAAAAATAGAGAAACTGACAGGTGTTCTACTAGATCCCCACTCAGAAACTAAACAAAATGTTTTGCCTTTAGTTATACTTTAATGCCAGCCAACAAAGAATAAGTTGGTTGTATTGCTAACCTTCATTTAAAAAAGATGCAATTTGTCTGGCTGCCATGGCTTCAATATCACATAGTTGGGACAAGCATGTGGAAATTGAATTCCGACCACTGGATCTGCATATTTTTCAGGTTCAATGAAAACATTGCACTACTGAAACCACCAGATCACCAATTAGAATTTTCAGAGGGAGTGCATGCTCATTTTGGCAGGGCCCTTTGTCCTCTGTATCTTTCTGTCTCTCTTGCCATATGTCTCTTTTAAAATGTTTTTTGTGTAACTTGCAGCTGTCAAAGAGGTGAGCTTGCTGCTATTGTGGTGCTCTGAGAAATACCGAGTTTTTAACACAATATTTTACATATTCACCTGAAACTGTATCAGCGGATGATCATCAAATACATATTCCAACCTTCCAATGATCTGCAGTACATAATCCTCAGGATCTACCTCTTTATCCTCACGACCATGAATGGTTAGGCGCTTACGAATAGCCAGCTCAGTCAGCTTTAGAGGGGTGATGTTCGGAGATACTTGGAAGCTAAATACATCCTGAAGAGAAAAAAAAACTAGGATGAGCGCTCATTCTGCAGCAGGAGAGAGCTAAAAAATAAATAACAGATTTTACTAAACAGACTAATGCAAATATATCATCAAAAGAGTAACTCCACAAGGTCCTATAAAACAGCAGGCATAGCATGAACATATTACTGATCAGCCTAAATCTGATAAAGCACTTTTCCAAAACACACATAATTTTTTCTAAGAAGTCTCCAAAATGAGCACCTGTCAAGCTAAGCTGCCAAATCCTTGACTGAGCGGTGGGCAAAATATCACTATTCAACCTATCAACTCCCTCTCACATCTAAAAAGCAAGGCTCAAAGAATGGAGGCTTCAAGCATTACTAGACAAACCCTCAAAGCAGACCTACATTTAAAAAAAAACTGAGGTTTGACCGTTTAATAATAGAGATTAGAACTCTTGTAATTCTTTTTTTTTTTTTCTAAAATAACAAACATGTTATACTTAGCTGTTCTGTGCAATGGTATTGCACAGAGCGGCCCCAAACCTCCTCTTCTGGGGTCCCTGGTTAGCGCTCTTGGCTGCTCTTCTGCTTTATGTGCCCCAGAGCAAGCCACTTGATATGGTGGCACAGCCCCGGGCATGCTACCGATCTTAGATGCACAAAGTGTGGCTCGGTCCCACCCCTGTTCACATGATGTGATTGACAGCAGCAGGAGCCAATCTGAGGAAAGGAAGAGAGACCATCACTGCTGCAGACAGGCACAGTGGAAGATTAGTGAGGTTTCCTACTACTTCTCTTCTGGTTCTTGCAGGAAACAAGGGGCGATTAAAAAAAAACAAAAAAACCAAAACCTTTCATTCATTCATTTCAGGTACTTATATAGCGCAGTCAATTTACGCAGCGCTTTACATATATATTATATATTCACATCAGTCCCTAACCCTCAAGGGATGCTCAATCTAAGGTCCCTATCTCACATTTATACATACACATACTAGGGCCAATTTAGACAGGATCCAATTAACCTACCAGCGTGTCTTTGGAGTGTCGGAGGAGGAGACTGTAGTACCCAGAGGAAATCCACCCAGGCACAGGGAGAACATGCAAACTCCAGGCAGGTGGTGCTGTGGTTGGATTTGAACCAATGAACCTAGTACTGCCAGGTGGAAGTGCTAACCATTTAACCAATGTGCTGCCATGCTTTCCTGCTCTGTCCTGTAAGGCATCAATTAACAATCGAAGTAGGTAAATCAAATGGCAAATATAACGCATCTTTATAATATTATTCTTAGATAGAAGCAGAGTATCTCCACCCATATGATAGTGTCTAAGCATACTTAGCCATTCTAGCCTCACAGAAGGCTATAAGAAGCATCATCAGACATGTACCCAGCCACTCCTGTCTCTAGTCAATTGACTACACTTAGTGCAGCATCCAAATAGTAAAAACCTATCCAAAACAATTACATCTAGAAGAAGGCTGGTTGGTAGTCCTTACTGTACCTGGCAGTTTTCAAAGTGGATAGCCACCACAAGGTTTCCCCCATACAGTCGGTCCTGAATATTGTCCTGGATGGATGGCTCCAGTTCAGGAGGAAAGGTGCATTTAAGCCATTCCAGCCAGCTGAGATTAAGCATTGACTGCATCTTTTCCTCACTTATCTTCCTCATCTTACTACGGAAATCTCTGACCTCATTATCTGGAAGGGCATCAAATTCTTGGAGACCTGAAAAACATTATTGAACCATACCATTATGCCACTAGAGACCTATTGCAGCTGAGTGTACACAGAAAAGGTAAGCCTATAGTGTTCTTGGAAAAAAAACCAGAACTAGAGTCACTCAGGAGTTAAAGGATAAAAAATCCTCTGGAACATACGGTTGTAAATACGCTTATTCCATTTTTAAATCTGAAAAAAAAACATGCAGAAAGATCAAAAGAACACATACCACAGTCTGCATGGTTTATTTCTGTGAATAATAGGTGAATGCCTTTAATACCGTCACCAGACCTGATTTTACTTTTTAAGCTTTAAAAAAAAGTTCACACTTAATACTACTTATTGCCCCTTATTCTATATATTGTTTTGTACAATCAAAAAAGGGCAATGCTGTTACTGGTATTAATTGGTTTTAAAGTAATTTCAAGGCTTAAAAATAAAGTTAGGTCGGGTGAGACCTTACCTTCAGTCTTGCACAGTTGTACACGCTCCTCTCTTGTACTGAAATGCTTACCCTATTTTCACTGCACATTAGGATTCCCACAGTGGAACCAAGGAAAGCAAAACATAAGCAGATTAAACTTCATCTTTAAATGGGTTGAAGCGGTGTTCTAGATTTAGAAAGTATCTAAACTATCAACTCATTTAAAGATAAACTTCACTCAAACATGAAATTTTCCCAATTAAACGGTCTCTGTGGATTCAGCCAAGCTAGTTGTCATACTGACTTTAACTTTGTGCAGCTGGTAGCCCTGCTTACTTAACATCTGTGGTTACCTTTATTCTGCTTTCCTGAATCTAAAGGCAGCCATACATGGAAATGCTTCAGCAGGGACAAGCTGAATTCAGATCAATGTATGGGCAGAGTACAACCACCCTGTTGGAAAATTTCTGCTCCATCAGCACTGCCAGCTATAGCCAGCAGCACTAATCAGTGTATTCTGACAGTGGGGAAGTCTTTCCCCCACATCCACCTCAAATGTGTGGATGGGGAAATCAAGTAAAATTTTTCATTCAACCTACTGGTTGCATGCCAAAAAAAAAACAAAACAAAAAAAAAAAAAAAAAACATGGGTCTAGTTCCAGCACTTACCTCTATAATTCTCAGAGAGACTGCCAATGATAGACACTTGCACCTAGAGGCTGTACTCAATCCAGAAGATATAAAAAGTCTACCAAAATCTAGCTCCAACTGATAAGTTAATGTGAAGGCAGTACCAAAAAACCATTCCCAACATAATACTATTCTATTTTATATTTAAAACATATTTATGGTCAAAAATGTAAAATCACTTTAATTTCCACATTGTATTTCAATTATTTCTAGCCTTCTCCTATTAGGCTCCATGTTCACTGCAGCTGATAAACTCACACATAGGAGTTTTTCTGTGTTTTTTTCAGCAGCCCCTGAACTCTCCCTAATCTTTTCCTATGTGTCCATGTACACTATGTCGTTTACAGGCAGTTGAGTTTACAGTAGTTTTTTTGAACACACCAAACTTGTGTTCAGGAGTAGATTTGATCAGTGTTTCAAACGCTTGTAAACACGGCTAACCACACTTATAAGCGTTTGGAAAATTTGTTTAACTCTTCCATTTCCAGATGCTGTCCAGAGCCTATTTTCAACATGAAAAATGCATGCAAAGCGTTTTCCCCCCCGGTACTCAAATGGACCTGTTACACCATACTTGGAGGTTTCGCATGAAAGAAAATATAATTAAACACTGCTGCAATCATTTCTGCACAGAAATGAACTGGAACACATCCAAAACACCATACTGCTCCCTCTGCTTCAGCTCTCCATTTCTCTCAAAATGTCTGAAAGTGTTAATTTTTTTACTGTTTTTCAGTGCATTCTGGAAGGTCTCCTGAGGTTATCTTTAAAAACACTTTTAAAAACGCAAATGCTCATAAACGTGGTATGCAAACACGGCTAATCAGATGTTTTTTAACCTACATTTTCCAGCAGTCAGTTTCCATCCTTCAGAAATGTTTTCCAAACGTCCCGTGTACATGGAGCCTTACTCTGAATGATCTTGAAGTAAGTAAACTTGCTTTGTGAAGATTTCATGAATTTATTTCCTTGAATATACATTGCCCTATCAGAAGGCACTGCATGCAGGCAGTAAAGTACCATGGGATATGCAGGGAACCCAAGAAGTTGTGGGAAAAGATGGCAGCAGACAGGCAGAAATCACAATATGAAAGGAGATTTTCAAGTAAGCTTATATTGGATTGTTAAAAAAAAAAAAAAATCTTGTTTTTATTGCCTTGTAATGCTGATATTATAAAAAAATAAAGTATAATGTAACTGTGGATCCCTACCCCCTCTCTACCCTCCCCAATCCACACTGCAAGGGTTAAATGCTGCAAACTCTCCCAAAAAAGAAGGCCTCAAGGTCTCAAAAGCGGTAGTCTGGGAATCCCTAATCAAACATCTATATGCATACCAAACTAAAGAAATTGGTTATGTATTCAACCAGGACTCATGGGGTTTTTTTTGTGCATATGTAAATACTTGTTCATAGTATACTGACATGGATACACAGGCTGATGGTAAAAAGGTTATTCAATGAATGACTTCTTTGATGAAAAAACATCTTTAAAAACATAAAAAAAACAATAAAGTACCACACTCCACAGATCCCATACTAAACCCCTAAAGTTGGGGAACATAGTAGACCAAACATCGAAATATGTTATTGCAAGGAAGAACCAATGGAGGCCCCATTATAAGAGACAATCCATGAATTGTAGTAACGTGCCTTTCAAAAGGGACATGCGTGGCAAATGAGAAATAAATATAATATATATATATATATATATATATATATATATATATATATATATATATATATATATATATATATATATATATATATACATACACACACACACACACACGTAAACATGCAGTCCAGAGGAGGAACTTGATGCTATATCAGTCTCCCTCATGCATTAAATGGATGACTCTGAGTGTCTTGTAATAAATGATTGCAGAGCCCAAATGAAAGCCAGTGACTGATTGTATAGGAAAAGGCGATAAGGTCGCTAAATTAATAATCAGTGTCCAACCACATGAAATAAATATATAATTGATGAGAGTCCTTCCCAAGTCCTCTGTATACCCTGATAAAGTCCAGCAGTTCTTAGTGATCCTTAAATTTCCAAAAATCCTTAGAGAAATACATCTTCTTCTGCCCTTAGTACCTAAAAAAAAAAACTAAACTAAAGTGCATTATCCTTAAACACAATAATAAATGGTGCATGTACTTCTAAATAATCACACAACCCATGACCAGCGATCACAAATAAATCCAGTGATTGGGGTTCCTGCTTTATCCAAAGCTAAAATAGGAACTCTTATGTAATCAACATTTCTCCATGTGGTGTGAGTATGTGCCATGCCACACAACAATAAGTGTTCAGAATAGTGCGATCAAATCATGTGACACCTGTCAATGTACTTTACCAGATAGACAGGTAGTGCAGACTTTATTAAAACAGACTCTTGCTCTAGGATCCTTCTGACACCGTGGAGTCAGTTATCCTTCATATAATGTGAATCCGTGCTCCAACAACCATCCGCAAGTGATCAAGTAACACGTTATATTGAATAAATGTGACACCTGTCAACCTAAATCCTTACCAGATTGACAGGTATTGCAAGCTTTAACTCAGACCGGATTGCTATTCAGATTATAGCACCAAATTCCACACTCAGCGATGTAAATACCCAAAATAAAAGTAAAAGGATCATCGTGCAGAAGCTCTTTAAAATTTGTGCATGACTTTAATGTAATCGCTTACATAATATGCAGAGTTAATGCAGCAGTGAAGATAGTCTTAGAGCTCACTGTTCTCAATGGAAAGCCCGAACCTCAACCAAAATGGCCGACGCGATATTTCCGGTAAATACGGACGATACTGTCTAACGTGTTTCGTCATCACAACTTTCTCAAAATCGTTACAAAACCAAACAATTTTGAAGCCTACCTCTAAAGCAGCTGGTTTACACTGGCAAAACCGGTCAGGAAGGGCGCCTCCACACCCCAAGATCCACTAATTAGGACTCATGCCTCAGTCTGATAAGTATTAATCTGCACTGGATCCAGCTCCTGCATTATGAACTGTATTTACTTAAAGGGACCCATGCTTTAGTATGTCCCTGGGGACTGCCCCTTTCATGTATTCATACTGTTACTATTGGAAGATTCATTTGGTCTATGTATGAGGGAGGCCTTGTTCACTCACACCCTTCCTGGGACGGCACCCTTATTCCTTTGGGTGCTGGAGGGGGGTGAAGATATAACCCTACACATCCAAAGGACTGCTCCTTCATTTGTCTACATCATTGCCTTTGGAAGACTAACTCTGTTCATGTATGAGGGAGGTCTTGTCCATTCTAATCCTCCCTGGGATGGCACCCTTATCCCCTTTGGGTGCTAGAGGGGGGTGTGTATATGTGCAGCAACCTATACCACATTATATCCAAGTTTAACCTGTTTCCTTCTCTGGACTACAGTCACTGGCTTCCATTTGTGCTCTGCAATCACTTATTACAAGACACTCTGAGTCATCCATTAAATGCATGAGGGAGGTTGATTTAGCATCAAGTTCCTCCTCTGGACTGCATGTTTACGTTATATATATATTTCTCATTTGCCACGCATGTCCCTTTTGAAAGGCACGTTACTACAATTTATGGATTGTCTCTTATAATGGGGCCTCCATTGGTTCTTCCTTGCAATAACAAATTTCAAAGTTTGGTCTACTATGTTCCCCAACTTTAGGGGTTTAGTATGGGATCTGTGGAGTGTGGTGCTTTATTGTTTTGTTAAGTTTTTAAAGATGTTTTTTCATCAAAGAAGTCATTCATTGAATAACCTTTTTACCATCAGCCTGTGTATCCATGTCAGTATACTATGAACAAGTATTTACATATGCACAAAAAAAAAACCCCATGAGTCCTGGCTGAATCCATAACCAATTTCTTTGGATTGGTA